GCCCCAGAGCGCGCGATCGTCACTCTCGACCGCCTCCCTCAGCCATTCGGGGTGATCCGCTGCTGCTTTCTCGCGCGCCTGGACAGCGAGAGCATGCTGGCATACCCAGAGCCGATGTTTCACAGAGTCGTGCTCGCCGCACAGCGGGCACGTGCCGTCGCCGTTGCAGCCCGCCGCCTTGGCCCTAGTGAGCGCCCGCGCACCTCCACAAACAACGCGCCATGGCCATGTACTTCTCACGCGAGGTGAGTTTCTTGTCCTTGGACCTCGGGCCAAAAGACGGACCATGGGATCCACGCGCACCCGGGAACCCTCGAAACCAAGGCATAGCTCCGCGAGAACCCTTTCGTGGCGTCTCTGAGTTCCACGCTCCAGGAGTTGGCCGACGCGGGAGGGCGAGCTTAAACCGAGATGCACAACTCTCTCGGAGTCGTCGAGCCACGTTAAAGCCGAAGTGGAGCGCCACCCAGTCCGATTCAGCGACAGATGCATTCTCTGGATAGGACCACGTGAGCTCTTCCAACTCAGCTCAAGGCCGCGGGGGGCAGCGCTCCACATCTGGCACAACTCCTTCACGCTATACATAGAAGTGCTAGGGCACGTGAGAGCCACCCACACAACGTGAGACGAGTGCAAGGCTGGCGCAACTCCAGCTCTCCAAACGGGGTCTCCACAAAACGCAAGTTTGGCATGGAAGGAGGTCTCCTTGTGGTAGGGGGGCTTACACGATAACAGAACCCTCTGAGCCTGCCACCTTCCTGGTTACCCATGCCAACGATGGCGGAGCCGAAGGTAGCAGCGGGCCCCACACCTGCGACATACATCTTGCCAATTCGCCCTTTCTGACGAGGCAGGCGGTCGCGGTGCCTTTTCAAAAATCAGATGTCTAGCGGACATGGTACGGAACCTCTGTTTGCGTTTCCGCCTAGCGTCTCTAGCGGAACGATGTTGACCCAAGACGGGATCCGCGACCAGGACCACAGTGCAGTTGGTGAGGGTGCCCGCCATACCCCCGAGCGGCTTGCCGAGTCTGCGAGCGAGGGGAAGCGAGCTGGCGAAAGTAGTGAGCTTGTCGGCCTGCAGCTGCACGTGCAGGTAATCCCTACACACTATGAACATGGCCGCTGCAGCCTTGGACATCCCGTCGAGCACCTCGGCCTCGCGGTCACTTTCCGCGGCACGCGAGTCGCCGTCAACGTGCGAGCTGAGCTGCACCAGCGGGCGAACACGAGTGAACTGATCAAAACCTCCGATTCTGCGACACGCAAATCGTTAGAGATGTCACCCGCTGGCAGGCCTGAGAGCGCAAAATACGGCGTAACAGAATACTGCGCACCGACTCGGAGCAGCCTGGGACCCCCCCAACAATTTAAATGGTTTTCACGACTGGGTTAAAACCGTGAGCCAGAGCACGGGCCCTGAGGAGCCCCAAATCAAAACTTTCATAGTGCTTGGTTCCATCCCAGATCACTCCAGCGGCGACGCGTCCTGCGTGAGCTAACACTTCAGCTCGGGCAGCCTAATGCCACGCAGTATCCTCTGCACTGCGCCCAGGGCCAAGCGCCCGGAACCTACGAGGATAATCTTCGTTGGGCCTCAAGAGGAGGGGTCTCCTTAAACGCTCCCACACTCGGACAGGGCCAGCGCGCAACAGCACGGGTCGGAGCCCCCCTTCGGTTTCTCGAGGAGGGGGGAGCGCATCCAAAACAATTGCGCGGGGAAGAGCCCGAAGCTTTCCACGGCCTGAAACAGGGCCGCCAGAGTTTCAAGAGCCGCGTCCGACACATGCGACAATTGTTTGGGGCGCAGACCGCCTAGCGACTGGCTCGCGTTAGCCGAGAAAGTCGCGCCGGCACTTCTAATGTCGGAAACAGAGACACGGGGGGGGGAATTGCGATCGGGCACATCAACAAGCGCAGGCTTGACAGAGGCACGCCAAAAGCTGGCGAGAGTCTCACCCTCAGCCCTCAAGAGCTTCATGGGATCACTGCTAAGCGTACCTGGGTGGACCTGGACAACCGTGGGGGCCCACTTCTGCCGAAGTTCAACAAGGCGATGCACGGCCCTAGCTCCCCCCCCTGAACGCTTTCTCCTGCCATTCATCCCAACTGTCCTGCTTGGCCTTCCAGAGGCCCTTGTCGGCATTGACGCGGTCGCCCTCCCACGCGCCCAAGAAGTCGCGCGCCTCTTGCGCCCAATCCTCGAGCGAGGACGGAGGCCACTGGCGCATCAAAGACCTGGCGCAAGCGATGGAGGCGCCCAGACGAGCAGCCATTCCTTCGCCAGGGAAGGGCTGCGACAGAATCTGGCCCACTAGCTGCTGCGCATCCTGCGCGAGAGCCCCACCCTTGACACGAGACGTCGACGGGTCAGACACTGCGTCGCGCAGGCGAGGGGCCGCCCCGACAGTCTCCGAAACGCGCTGGGCTAACCAGACCCGCCCCTGGTTGATCGGGTCGGTGCGCGCACTCTTGGGGGTTGCAAAAAATGGGGGCCCGCTCGGCCCTGGGCACCAAACCTTTCAAACCTGCATTCTTGGCAACGAAGCCTAGAAACGATTCCAACTCGAGCGAGACGGTTCGAGAAAGTACGCCACGCACTGCTAGGAAGCTCCCAGGCGAAACCAACTGGTTTATCCATCGCAGCTTGCGCCGCGCATTCGGCAATGTCTCGAGCGAGCGCCCAATCCTGCGGTCTAGGGGTGGGGCCGCAGGGTAATTCCACTAGAAGGCGCTGATGGCTACCACGCACAACTTGGCACAACCTGACCGCTTGCCCCTTCGACCTAAGGATCACAGGGTGGTGAGGTCGTCCGCTACACTGCAAATCGCAACGGATGCCCTCAATGGCTCTAAAGAACGATGTGCTGCACATAAAGATATCGATCGTGGAGTGAGCCTGAGCGCTGAATCAAGCCCTGGATGTGGGAACGAAGCGAAGGGGCTCTAGTCTTCTAACAAGACCAGCCGACTCCAACAAGGCGGGGGAAAGGTTCCAATCACCTCAATAGGCAAACATTTGATATTTATCCAGAGCTTGGCAGATGGCCCTCAAATAGGACGCATTCCGATCGCGCAGGCCAGCTCCTGACTTAAGGTAAGCACACACAACCGTGAGCACGGGCCATTCATGAATATCAATCAACACTTTGATCACGCAGGCGAGAACCAGGATACCTCCCCTGCTGGGCCGCATGAGGACGAGGTGGGGGCGGGCCAGGACCGCAACGTCCCACTTGGGCCTACCAGAGGCCCAGGCACGCGACGGGGAGGCGAACATATTCCATCCGAGTTTGGCGACCGCCTGACACTTGCCCCCTAGGCATCCTCGGAGAAGCCCACCTCCTGAGCCAGGAGGATGAGCGCCGAGGAAACAGCCAGCCTGTCTCTAAGGGTACCCCAAGAGTTACCGTTGAAGGTCTCCACCGCCTCTCTTTTGCCGAGCAAGCCCACGCGGTCGGGGTCGAGAGGAGGAGGGGCGGGGGGAGGCTGGGCCGCGCCGTGGCGCGACGTACGCAAACCACAGCAACGCGGGAGCAAGGGCGGGCTACCCCTGCCGCTGTCGCTTGGCAAGCAAAGCCGCAAGCAGCTCACACGAGGCCCGCTAGTCGACTCTCTGCGCCGCGAAGAAGATTCGGTCCATGTCCTCATCGCTAAGCGCAACCGCGTCACGCATGACCTGGTCACCGTCGACGGACTGACGCCGCGCACCTGCACCACCAGCGCCGCACGGTTGGAAGCCAGCGGGAACGTCCTCGCCCTTGCCCTTGCCGCCGAAGACAATGGTGCCCTGTTGACGAATGGTGGACCATCACCATCAGAAGAAAAGGGCTGGCCACAGCAGCTGCTTTCTGAGCTTTCCTGGCCAGCGCCGTCTGGTACATCTTGAACTCCTCTGAGCCGAACAGCGCGGTGAGCTTGGCTCGTTCTTCATCGCCTTCTGCCAGATCGTCTGCCGTGTCCAGCTGAAGAGAAGGAACAGCCACCGTAGAGGGGAGAGCGTCGACCAGCTCCTTGCGCAGCTGCTCCACTTCCTTTTGAGCCACGACCTGCATGGCCCCAATACCATCGAGCTTTTCTTGTGCACATCGAACAATATCCTTCTGTTCCGCCGCCTGCGACGTCAACCTCTCGCACTTGAGCTCAACACGCTGAAGGCGATGACCAACATTGGTGTGCACAGTGAGCTCAGGTTTGAGGCTAGCAAGGTGTTTCCTTGCCTCTTGTAACTGAGCGTCCAGAGCATGCCGCGCCTCATCGCTGCCTGGGACCTTGTCCAGCGCGAGTCGGGCCTGCTCCAGGTGACGAACCGTCTCACGAAGCACTTGAGCCTCGACGACTTCTTCACTCTTGCTGCTGCCGTGAGAACCACTTTGGCCACGAGTGCTGCCGCTGGGAGCACCGCCGTGGCCACTGTTGCCTGCCAGCTTGTCATACTTGATCTGAAGATCTCGCATCTGCTTCGTGAGCAATGCGACCGCCGCATTGCCTCCGCCTCCTTGACGCTGCCCACCCTTACCTCCAACAGGGTGGCACTGGCCGCCAGGAGGACCACGAGGAGCATGCTGAGCCTTTTCCCGAGCGGTTTTTGCGATTTTCGCCGGCGCTGGCCCTCCACACCTGCACACCAGCCCCGAAGCCTAATTGGTAATTGGTATTGAGTCCGCAACTGCTGCAATGCCAAAAAGGCGCCCTGGGTCCAGGAAGGACCACAGCGCCTCCATCAGACATGGACTGGGTGCTCCCGTGCTGGGAGCGAAAGATGATCGAGAAACATCCGAACCACAAAGACCCGCAGGAGCGACTGCCGTTCTGAAGACTGCTCCTGCAAGCCCAACACCTGGGCCAGAACGGTTGAGGAGGAGGAGGAGGAGGAGGAGGAGGAAAAGGAGGTCCTCCTCCTCCTCTTCCTCCTCCTCCTCCTCCTCCTCCTCCTCCTCCTCCTCCTCCTCCCTCTCCTACCTGTGGTAGCGGTGGTGGAAATCGGCCCATCAGATATGCCTCGGGCCCGGCGCGCGGACGGGCGGGCGGGACCCGACGCGCGGTTCGGCGGCCGCGCCCTGGAGCACAGCGGTCGAACCAAGGCTGGGCGGCAGCGCGGGACACCGCCCAGACCAGAAGCGGAGCCTGCAAAGGCCGGTCCTCGACGCCTCCGCTGGACCGAAAGCAACGCCTCCTCATCCTCCTCCTCCCTCTCCTCCTCCCTCCTCCCTCCCTCCTCCCTCCCTCCTCCCTCCCTCCTCCCTCCCTCCCTCCTCCCTCCCTCCCTCCCCTCCCTCCTCCTCCCTCCTCCCTCCTCCCTCCTCCCTCCCTCCTCCTCCCCTCCTCCTCCCTCCTCCCTCCTCCCTCCTCCCTCCTCCCTCCCTCCTCCCTCCGCCCTCCCGCCCTCCTCCTCCTCCTCCCCCCTCCTCCCTCCTCCCTCCCTCCTCCCTCCTCCCTCCTCCCTCCTCCCTCCTCCTCCCTCCTCCCTCCTCCCTCCTCCCTCCTCCCTCCTCACTTCTCCTCCTCCTCCTCCTCCGCTGGTCCGCTCGACGTCTCCAGCGTGATGGAGACGAAGCCAGTGCGGCCCCGACCTGGGGGGTGCTCTATTGTCTGAAGGCGTCCACGGCGAGTTAGCCAAGAATTACCACTGGTAGGAGATCCACCGCGGGGTCCCAACAGCCAGAGCGGACAGCGGTGACGGATACCCTGCTCATTTGCACGCGCCTCAAATTGAACAACTCCTGCTTCCCTCCAGCCCACTATCCGCTCAAAGCCGGTCATCCGACCAACCAAGGGCACCGTCCCAGCCAATTGATCGATCCGCGTCCATCATCAGCGGCGATGGGAGCTACCCAGGAATCCAAGAAAATGTACAGAGTACTGGAGATGAGCCAGAACAGCGGCGTGTTGCCCATTACTCCTAGATACGGGCGCTCCTGCAAATCCCTAGACGACGCTCAAGTTAGAAAGGGACCCTGGGACACACAAATAATTACACACAAAGAACAGGACCCCCCATATGCTCCCAGATGTTCTGGTTTTTTGTCTTCCCCCCCACTTCCCATATTTTCCCACAGTTCGGCTACACGCAAGAGTGACCCTAGGCAAGAGTGACCTTTAGTGCGCGGCCAAAGGGGGCCCTTTGGGAACCACGCCAGGCGCGAAAGCCGCTGCTATCGCACTGCATCCAGCGATCGGGCGGGCCCCATTGGGCCCGCACCAAAGGTCACTCCGGCGAAGGGTCACTCTTACGTGTACTGGGGAATCGACGATTCAGTGTGTCTGTGTTTTTTTCCCTTTGAGCTGTCCCTGCCGCGGCATCCTTCGAAAATCTTCGGCGGCACGACCCCGCACCGGCTCTCTATGCCCCGCCCCGTCGCTCTCGCCCGGGCCGGGCGGCGCAGCGGCGACCCCCGCCGGCCGTGCAGCCTTTCCGTAGGGGGAGGGCGCCCCGCGGTGGCTCTGAGCTTCTGCGTTTGACTACCAGACCACCCCAACCCAACCTGAAGACCCGAATTTCGGGTTGGGGGGGGTATGGGCTCCAGATGTGTTTTTTTCAAAGTTCCCGGACCCCCCCCCACACTAGAAATCGAGGGCAAATCTGAGCTACGAGACCTATGTTGCTTCACATCAGCAATTTGGCCCCTGCTGACTTTTTTTCAAAATAATATATTGGGATGAAACGCTGCCGCTGGATATATCGAGCACAGTTGATCACAACACAAACGCTCCTGCGATCCCCGCCAAAATGGCAAGAAATGGTAAGCTCAGATCCGCATGGCTACATTGCAACCGAACCGCTTGACCACCATCTCGACCGAACTGGCGGAATTCGACCACGCGTCCGACAAAATACGTTCGACGAGGGATGCGCTGCACAATGCCCCGGCCACGGGCAGCGCTACGAGGGAAAGCGGGCCCTTCGATGTGTCACTTTCAGCGCCCGTGAAAGTGACACCTCCCAGGGCCCACTTAAAGAGCACCAGAAAGGCTCCAAGAAGGCCCCGAGAAGGCCCCAGGGCGGCACCAAGAGGGCTCCCAGATGGACCCAAGAGAGGCCCCAAGAAGGGCCCAAGAGGGCCCTCCGCGGTGTCACTTTCAACGCCCGTGAAAATGACACCTCCCAGGGCCCACTTAGGGCCTCAGAAAAGCTCTAAGAAGGCCCCGAAAGGGCCATAGAGAGCCGCCCTGGGTTCAACTCCGCGTGGCGGAGTTGGAAGCGATAACTTCAATACCCTACTGGAGGCCTCTTAGGGGCCCTAAGACGGCACTGAAGAACCCCATCGGGGCTTTTTCAAAGGCAGAGGAGGGCGCAAAAAGGGGCCTCAGTGAGCCCCTGGTCTAACTCCACCTGGCGGAATTGGAAGCGATATCGCCCGGCGCCTTCATGGAGCCGCTCGGAGCTTCCAAGACGGCTCCAGAAGGCCCCAGGAGGGCCCCAAGAGGATCGAACGACGATTCCTGGAAGTGCACCAGTGAGACCCTTGTTGACCTCCGCCTGGCGGAGTTGGAAGCGACAATTTCCAGTGCCCTCTTGGGGCCTCTGGGGGGCCCCTCAGAAAGCTTTGGGGAGCACAGTGAAGGCCTTCGCAGGGCCGCGTGAGAGCCGTACCAGGGCCGCATGTGTGCGCGGATGGGGGCGACGAGTGCTGACGCTGACGAATATGAGAATGATGAGGGCGATCAAGGCTGGCCCGAAACAAATCCTGGCGCCATTGCAGGCCGCCGATTATCGGCCACGCCGCCAGGACGACGCCAAGCAACAAAACGACACCAACCAACAAACCGACACCAACCAACAAACCAACAAATCGACACCGGCCAACAAAAGGACACCAAGCAACAAAACGACACCAAGCAACAAAACGACACCAACCAACGAAACGACACCAACCAACAAAACGGCACGAATCAACAAAACGGCACTGACCAACCAAACGACAAATCACTTCACGACACCAATGAACAACGCGAAATCCACCGACCGCCAACCAAGCATAAAATCAACCGACACAACGAAACCAACCCATAGAGCCAGACCAACCACTGGATTCGTGAGTCGGGGTAGTCATGGAAGTGAGCCGCTGCAGCCCGCGGAAGCCATTAACAGTGACCAGAGCACCGCAATGCAGCAACGTCCCCGGGCGGCGGCGGGAGTCTTGGATCTCCCGCGGGACTGGAGCGTAGCGAGTTCGTCCTGGGTCCGGTTTAGTGAAGTGAAGAATTTCGGGGTGCTTGCATGGCAAAAACCTTCACTTCACTAATCTGGGGCCCCTGGAGCCCCAGGGCGTTTCAGGTCCCCTCGCTGTCTGGGTAGTCCAGGGGGCGCAGTGGCGGCTTACCAGAGGCCCTGTTCCCTAGCCTCACTTGCTTTCACCCGTGGTGCTCGACGGCCGTCTCGGAGCTGTCTTGTGGCGGTCTGGGGCAATCCCGAAGCCTCTTGGAGCCATCCCAAGGCCCCAAGGCGCCACCAATGGGGGCCCCAAGAGAGCTCCCAGAGGGCCCCGAAAGGCCTACAACAGATTGCACGTTCGCGCGAATTCTTTGTACCACTTTGGGGGGTCCCTCTTGGGGCCCTCGGGGAACGTTCTTGGGGCCCTCCGAGGGCCCACTGGGGCCCCGTGAAGGCCCCAAGAACGCTCCCAGAGGGCCCCAAGAATGCTCCAAGAGGGCCCCAAGAGGACCCCCACAAAAGACAAAAACTATTTGCATGAGGGTGCAACTTACTCGGCGCCTCTTGGGGCGCTCTTGGAGCCGTGCTGGGCGCCACTCGTGGACGACATGGCTGGGCGACGGCATGTGGACCCTGTCGCTTGGGCCATCGGGGGTGCTCCCCAATGGGGCCACGAAGCTTGTGAGCGTATGACGGAATGGGCTGGGCGGCGGCCTGTGGGCCCTGCCTGTGGGGCCGTCGGTGTAGCTCCCCGTGGGGCCACGAAGCGTGTGAAACGTATGCCGAAATATGCTGGGCGGCGGCCTGGGAAACCTGCCGCTGGGACCTTTTTTTGGTGGAGCTGCCTATAGGGGCACGAAATGTTTGAGGGTGTCATCAATGTGGCCTGGGCGACGGCATGTGGACCTTGCCGCCGGGACCTCCGATGAGCTCCTCATGGGGACACGAAGCGTCTGAGGGGCGTGCCGACATGGGCTGGGCGGCGCACTAAGGACCCTGCCGATGGGGCCTTCGGTGGAGCACCTCACAAGGCCACGAGACTTGCGGGGGATGTGGCGAAGCACAGACGCGGGGGAACAAGGGGGGTGTTTTGATGATGTTGATGAGGATGGTGGTGGTCTTGATGATGGAGACGGCGAGAATGCTGATGATGCTGATGATGATGGTGACGGCGACGATGACGATGGACGATGACGACGGAGACACGCGGAGAGCAGGGGCAGATACGCGAAGAGGGAGGGCGAGGGAGGGGGCCGGAAGGAATGACGCGGGGCGGTGTCTCTTCAAAACGAAGAACCAACACTGCAATATGGTAGGAAATTTCTGGACGACCCCCCCCCGTGGCGCGGTCAATGTCCGCGACAGCATCGCTGGCACTACGAACGAAATGATCGAACTCTTCCTGCGACGTTACCCGCGGGGTGGATCAGCCAGGGGTGGGGGTCGAAACCGCCCCAGCGCAAAGCAAATGTACAATCCTGAGAAGCCCCAGCCTACATCAACCGATCCGCAACAAGCACGCAAGCCTTTGACGACCCCAACGCACGTGACATCGCATAACGCGACGCGCCATCGAAAACGTTCGACGCGCGGCCTCGGAATGACATCGGGCTTCATGGAACGTCGAACGGAAACCATGAAAAAACCGCTCTGTGGGCTCCGAGACCCAAAACTACTGATGTGAAGGATTTCGGCTCGTCGACTTCGGGTTGGGTTTGGGTGGTTTGGTGGGTGGTGACGTGGGGGAGGGCGCCTCGCGGTGGCTCTGAGCTTTTGCGTTGCAGCCCAGATCGGCAGTCGGGCCGTTGCTCGAATCGCGTAAACTCCGTCGGGGCAGGAGCCCGACCACCAGCATCATCAACACCGACAGATTCACGGGCATTCGTTCTGGGCTGAAGCCACCTGGGGCCAAGTTCAGGGCCTCGCACCTGGTGTGTCGACTCGGCGCGCAGGAGCCCGACGCCATGGTCTCACAGTGGGGGGCCCGACCACAAGAAGCCTTCCACAAGAAACCCAACCCGGAGAC